CAAAGCACCTTCAAGAATATGAGCCTGCTAAGATTTAACAGGGACAGTGTAATCTCTGTGTGCCTCATCTCAGAAGAAAACTACCAAATTAATTTGGCCTTTTTCCAGGTAAGGCTGTTTCAGATTGCATCCTTTAGGCACATGAGAGCAATCTGAAAAGTGTTTGATAAATTTTTGGACATACTACACAGCTCTTCTATTCTTCAGGCTGTCAATATGCTCAGAGCACCAGACAAACTAATCTGAAGTTATAGTTCACCTGAGAGTGGAGTATTGAGGTTCTGATGTAGTTATATTTGATTATTATGTGCCAGGTCCATGTCAACACTCATCCATCAAGCTGTAGGTCATCCTTTTTTCCCCTCTTTCCTTCCATTCTTCTCAGCATTGCCATAATAATGTGTCCTAAATATGATAATTTGAACCTGATCATTTGTGCCTTAACTGAAATCTCTGGACAGATTTATTTATTTGTTACATATACTGTAGGTCAGGCATGTCAAACTCGTGACGTCACCTGACGTCGCGCAATGTATAGGAGCTTTTTTGCCATTGCTGGCAATGGGATGGGCGCGGCTCCGGTATGATGAAACCGGCCCATGGGCCGGCAGTTTGACACCCCTGCTGTAGGTAGTTACCATTACTAAACCAGGCAGATAAAAAAAATTCAGGGTTGAGTGTCTGCAAACGCCAAATCACCACAACTATATGTCATACACACTAGAGAAGCCATTTCACTAAATGTTTTGAGAAAAGTGCATCCTTTAGTTTTACCAATGCTGGGATTGCCTTATTGCTCATGGTAATGTATAGGGGTTTTTTTTGTCAAAATGTTTTATCATTATGGCCATTGGCCTAAATTAATTGGTTCGAGCATTTATTGTTCAGCAAAACTAAAAAAATATTTTCACTAAAAATGAAGCATGTGTATTTTTGAATCAACTCCTTTATTCATACATGAAGGGATTTTTAAAAATTCAATCATAACCAAAGGAGTGCAAGAAATTTTAAATATTTTGTGGTTGCAAAATTCAATCCTTATATGAATGTCTTTTTACTCACAGTCTTATAAATAAAGGTAAACTTCCTTTTCAGTTCTTAAACTTGTTTCGATATTTTGAATATAAATTTCGATATAAATTACCCTAAGAAAGAAAATGACCTCTGTGCATTAACAAAAGATGATTTTGTTTTTAAAAGTTGGATTATAACTTCAGTGATTTCTGAACCCAATATTTGTGATTTCCACCAGTTTCTTTAAAGCATAATTAAAAAGTAATTTCTTGAATGGACTCCCCTTTACTTTGAACTTTATCCAATAGGACTTGGAATTATGGGCAGATTATTTTGCTAGAAGACTACATCATAATCAATTTTTAAGCAATGAATAAATTGAACAAGAAAGGATGATTGTTCCATTTTAAAAATGTAGCTTACTGTATTTCTTTTTTCCAAGGATATCATAGGCTTATTCCCTCCTTCATAGCATGAGAATTAAATCAGGTATTTCTCTGTACTTTATTCAGAATCTCAGAAACAGATTTTTCAATTATTCTCAACTGTACAGTGTTTTTCTTTAGTCCTCCATCTATTTCTTCACACTTTTGTGAAGAATTACCCTCACAGCAGCCTGAATTCTCAATATAATTCTCTAAACCATCCTTTAATGTGTTTCTTTTTCTGGGAGAGCTCCTGTGTTTCTTTTTGCTTTCAACAGAACAGCTACTTAGAGAAGTAATTTCAAAGATATTTTATGATCTCTGCTGCATTATGTTTAGTTTCTGAAGTCTTGCTAGAAGACACAGTAAATGAGCCCAGCAATCATAGGTTGTATGTTGAGACTTCATTTATTACAAGCATCTTTATCAGGGGTCTTCAAACCTGGCTCTTTTATGACTTGTGGACTTCAACTCCCAGAATTCCTCAGCCAGCATGCCTGGCTGAGGAATTCTGGGAGTTGAAGTCCACAAGTCATAAAAGGGCCAAGTTTGAAGACCCCTGATCTATATGGTCACCCAACTCAAACAACTTTGGGTGACATACAACAAAAATAGACAGTCAATCAAAAATTTAAATGGGCATGCCAGCCAATCTCTAAGTCCAATAAACTTCTATTTCTCACCATCTTTCAACCAAACTAAACAACAGGTTGCAAAGTGTACATTAAAATCTAGTGGAGCTAGCCTTCCTTTCTCTTTAGCATCTTGCAACACTTTATATTTTATTCTAGTTTGTTTATTTGTTTGTTTATCTTGTCCCCCAAATTTAGATATATTTTTCTGCCCTCATTTAAAAGGTAAATCCAAATTCAAAATAGATATTGCCTGAAAGAGAAATAACATTCTGGGTAACATATTCATTTTTATCATAGAGATTCTTCCCAGTAATGGCAATTGTAAAAGTCTCTTCTTGATATGTCCTTTTAAACCTCATTCCATGTCTTAACATAATTATTCTGAAACAACATGCATTTCATATTTGTCAAATATGAAGTATTTTACTTTACTCTCAATCTTAAAACTTTTTTAATTCATCAATTCTAATTGATCTTGTATCTTCATATATTTTGTTATCATCTTTGTCTTTTGTTTGTTAATTTTAAAGCCATCTACTACACGAAATTCTTTTAATTTCCTCATTAATAGTTAATACTAACATCAACTTTTCAACAGATCTTCCAACACCAACACTAAATCATGTGCAAAGGCTCTCAATTTATATGCTTCTTTTAAATTTTTTTACACCCATTATCCTTTATCTTGCCATCCCTATTCAAAATTTTCAAAGCCAATATAAACAGAAGTGGGGATAGTAGGCAGCCTTGTCATGTTCCTTTGGGAGTTCACAAGCAGTTGTTAAATTTCTGCTAATATTAATTCGTGTTTTCTGTAACATATATGGATTTTACTCATTTTATAAAGTTCTCACCAAAATCCACATCTTCTAAAACCTCTAAACAAAAACGGCTAGTTAAAATTCTCAAAGGCTTCCTCTGTTCCAAATGTTCTATAATCTATAAAACTTGTTCTCATGTTATCTTTTAGATGTCTTTTAGGTTAAAAAAAAACCCAGATTGACCTTGGTGAATATATATATATTAATTTATTTGCCAGTATGATTGTAAATAACTTAAAATCACTAGTCAATAAAGACATGGGATTATAATTTTCAGTCAAATTTAAATGTTGTCCTTCTTTGGGAATTACTACAGTGTTAGCTGCTTTCCATGACTCTAGTACAGTGATGGCGAACCTTTTAGAGACCGAGTGCCCAAATCGCAACCCAAAACCCACTTATTTATCGCAAAGTGCCAGGGCCACATCAGCATTGTGGTGCCCTCAGGGGGGCGGGCAGGGAGGCACCTCTGAATGCTGCCTCTGGCACGCAAAAACCGGGGGCGCAAAAATGGGCCACCATGCTGCAAGGTGCAAAAACGGCCATCAGCACGCTGTGGGGTGCAGATACAAGGCGCTGCACCAAGCAAGAACAGGGCAGGGCTAGTGAGCATCATGCAGGCACTAGCCCCACCCCATTTGCAGTGTGTGTGTGCTCGCGGCCCCATGCACGCATGCATGCATGTAAAATGCTTCCCCCTCCCTTTTCTTCCAGTCCACCAATTGGCAATGGTTGGTGACCTCTGCTCTACCACCTCTACTCGAGTTTGCTAGTTGGCCACTTTGCCTCCTTTTGTGCTGGGCGGGGCTTCTGTTCCGGGCAGTGCTGGCGGTCTGATGGACCTGCTGCTGGCAACAGCGGTGCGCGTGCCAACAGAGAGGGCTCTGAGTGCCGCCTCTGGCACGTGTGCCATAGGTTCGCCACCACTGCTCTAGTATATCTGCCCGTTGTAAAATATGATTCATTGTGTTCTGGCGAAGTTGTAGAATTTCCTCTTTTATTTGATTATTTTCATCTGTTTTGAAATATTTGTCAGAAGTACTTCCTTATTGCAGATTCTGTTTCATTGATCTTCATTGCTTACTTTTAGCAACAGATAAATGACCAAGTCTAGCATTGCCACAATAGAAAACAGAACCAAATATAATTAGAAGTTATATTCATGATTGCATTTTTGAGCAATGCCTATCATTTTAATGAAACATTTTAAGAACAATTTTAAAATCTGATTTTTGTCTTTGTCCATCCTGCCACAGAATATCAACCTATGTACATTATTTCAGAGTAGTGGCAGTTTTAAGTGAAGCCTGCAACAAAATGCAGCTTTCACTTTTTGTCTCTTTAATACAGGAGTCCCCAACCCCCGGGCCCTGGGCGGCTACTAATCCATGGCCTGTTGGGAACCGGGCCACCAAAGCAGTGAGCAAGTGCGCAAAGCTTCATTGGCACATGTGCGGGATTTAGGTTGCGAATGCAAAACCAGTTGTGAATGCAAAACCAAATGTACAGGTATAGTATAGGGGGTACCTTGCTCAATAGTAGTAACTGTGAGAGGGACCTCGGAGTCCTAGTGGACAATCACTTAAATATGAGCCAGCAGTGTGCTGCAGCTGCCAAAAAGGCCAACACAGTGCTGGGCTGCATTAACAGAGGGATAGAATCAAGATCACGTGAAGTATTAATACCACTTTANTGAAGGCAGGACAAGAAGCAACGGATGGAAACTAATCAAGGAGAGAAGCAATCTAGAACTAAGGAGAAACTTCCTGACAGTTAGAACAATTAACCAGTGGAACAACCTGCCTCCAGAAGCGGTGAATGCTCCAACACTGGAAGTTTTTAAGAAGAGACTGGACAGCCATTTGTCTGAAATGGTATAGGGTTTCCTGCCTAAGCAGGGGGTTGGACTAGATGACCTCCAAGGTCCCTTCCAACTTTATTATTATCATCATTATTATTGTTATTATTATTATTATTATTATTATTATTATTATTATTATTATTATTATTATTATTATTATTATTCCCCTCCCGCCGTGAAACAGCCGAAGCTGCCCCCATTACCTGTTCATGGAACCAAAAAAGTTGGGAACCCCTGCTCTAATAGAAATAGAATATGTCCAAGACAATTTAAAGGTAAAAGCTCTTAACCAATTCATGTCCCCCTCTTCTGTGTAATTTCTTTCTTTTTATCTTTTTTTACTCACTGCTCTGTAACATGTAGAGGCCACTCAGTGTGTTCAGATCTGCCCTTGTGGATTTTTTCTTGTTTCTTACGTAAATAATCTGTGTAGTTCTGCATAATTTAAGATTCATCACAGATACTATTTTTATTCATGCAAGGTCCAAAGTATGTTTTCTGAATCATTTTGGGAGTGTGCACAACCTTAATAATGACAATTTTGTAATGATTCTTTGACATGAACAGGGACAAAGTATGCAAAAAAAATCATGTTGATTTCTTGCAGGCGAAGTACATGAAGCTTGCTAAATATGTGTCTTGCCAAGAAATAAGACACAACACCAATGCTCTTAATGAGCGCAAAGGAACAGCACAATCTAACAGAACAGTCTGAAATAGCACATAATTCTTTCCTTCATCTCCAAAAGAATAATAAATGCTTGTAGAAGACTGGAAAACTCCAGGAAATCAGAAAATCAAACAGACAGTTAGTATCATACATTTATTTTTTATTATTTGTTAAATAATAAATGCTTTTAAAGAAAAGGTTACTGTTCTAAAATTTAGAAAAAAGTGTTTTCTCCTTTTAGGGTTAATTTTTTTTTAAATAATATAGGGAATTCTTTGAATATAAATTATGACAGTTTATAAAGATTAATGAGTAAACAGAAGTATATACTATTCTCCATAGCTAGAAAAAGCAGAGATAGTTAAATTGATTCCTTTATCCAAAGAAGAGAATATATTTAATTTTGTTTCTATTTGGAAATTGCTTCTGGATTTTGTGCTTGCAAAGGAAAAAAAAATCTTGTTTTTGCTGATTAAATATATTTGTTGCTGTAGAAATGGCTAGTATATACTATTGTGTAAAATAAAAAACAAATGTGTGAACTATACTCTGAAACAACCTTAACTCTTTCAGTGAAATTGAAAGTGATTATCACAGGGTACAGTGGAATTCAGATTTGAGGAAAAATTGATATGAAAAATGCACGCATGAGAAAATATTGAAAGAAAACTTAGCAAGACTGTGTACTACAGTCCACTGCTTGGCTCCTTCTGGAAGGGAACAAAATTCCCAATCTTTGAGGGGGATTGGGATGTGACCCTCTCCCAGCCTCGGCCTACCTTACAAGGTTGTAAGAATAAGATAAGCAAACCTTTGTGCCATCTTAAGTTCCTCACATGGAAGACTGTAATAAGCTGAGACAGTAAAATGTACGCATTTTTTGTTCTATGTGTTTTCCTTTTCCAGCTCTCTTTTCCACTACTTTTTACAAATAGGTCAGGAAGATACAGGGATTTTACTCCAGACAAGCAAGAGGCAGACTCTAGACAGTAACACTGGTCTTTGTTTGTTTGATATGTCAGTCAGCCAAGCAGCCAGCCTGTCACCAGCCAAGCCAACAGTCCAGGGCATTTGTTTTATTTATTGCTTAGTAAGACATGGTGCCCGGTTTTGATATCGGTGGCTGGCTGAGTCAGCAACTGCCACAAATTACAGAATAGCTATGAGAGGGAACAAAGAAAAGTTCAGGATTTTGGCAACAGAAAAGCTATCTCTCTATTTACAATTTGGAAGGTGAAACTAAACAGATGCAAAATTGTTCCTTTCTCTGTCTTTTCTTTTCAGGAGAGTATTCATATGGCATGGGCAAAGTGTATTCAAAGCTCCTAAGGAAAGTGGTTAGTTATTCTGGTTACTTTATTTGGAACCTCCTCACATTCCTATGGAGGTAGAAGAATTACTAGAAAGTGAAGAACTGAGTGTCTTGTTGGGTTAGTATATTTAACATGAAGTGGTTTGTTTGTTTGTTTGTTTGTTTGTTTATCCCTTTAATTCAGCCTTCGGTAGTGATTGTCATTGTTATGTCACTGAAAATTATGTGGAAAATATGTTTTTTATTGTTCGCAAAAACTACTAGGACCATGTGACAGAAGTTTTGCAAAATGAAGAGATCAAAATTTTCTGAGATTTCAAAATTCAAACTGATACGTACTTGGAACCTACTAGAACGGAACTACTCCTAAAGTTATAGAAAAAAAAAGAAAGTTTGTTTATTGATGGGGCAATACCCGAAGTAGTCAGATTAATGAAAAACAACAAATTTACAAATTATGGAGGAGAAAGATCAGTACTAATACCTAATGAAATTGGAATCTTGGTGTACTGACAAAAGGATCCACCATTTAGATATTTTAAACTTAATGGACTAAAGTCTCCTAATCTTGGGGAAAAATCCTATTTGGAACAGCTTACATTATATGGCATTACCTTCAAAACTCTTAGGTCCTTGACTGCGACCTGAATCATTATAGTCAACACCCAGTCAATTAGATTGTGATATTCATTTGAGCAATTACAATACGCATTTCTATTCCCTTTTAATGTATTACATACATATCAATTATCAGTTACATACATTGTAAAAATGTTGAGGTATTCTATAGGAGAATATTTTCGCCATGGATGTGGAAGTGTAAAGCTTCCACTTTACTCTAGAGACACCATTTTGTCTCTGTTTATTCTTTCCTAACCCTCTCAGTGCCTTTCAGCAGTCATCATGATTTTCATCCTTTTTCTATTCAGCAATTTCTATTCATTCCATTGTTTAATCATATCCCAATGGCCAGCTGAAAATTCAGTGCATCTTAATGTAATATTTGCCATCTGTGTTCATCCATAACTTACTCATGCAGTGGAAAATATATGCTGAAAGTCATTCTGATGACCTACCCTAAATGCCTCTTAGTTCCATTGCAATTGCATGACAATGTGCTCTGAATCTTGTCTGTTCCCCATAGTAATTTTATGACTAACACTGAAAAAAGTAATGACAAGGGTTTAAATAAGCAGGTGGAGTTTCTTACTTAAAGGAGTCCTACAGGATGATAAGCATAGGGAGCCCACATGAATCCAAGACAAGCATTGGGAGCCAGCATGAATCCAAGAAAGTTATCTATTCTTTCCTGGCACATGATACAACTGGTATAACTAAATGATACAACTAAAAAGTGATTTCTTTGAGGAAAGCAGAAATTAGGCAGCATCTAAAGCATAAAAGTTCAGGGTTCTTATTCAAAGGCTTTTCATATGGAAAAGTCATTGTTCCCATTTGATTCCCAAACAATGTGAAAAGAGAAGGAAGGAAAGAAAGAAAGAAAGAGAAGGAAGGAGAAAGAAAGAAGAAGAAAGAAAGAAAGAAAGAAAGAAAAGGAAGGAGAGAGAAAGAAAGAAAGAAAGAAAGAAAGAAAGAAAGAAAGAAAAAGAAAAAAAGAAAGAAAAGAAAAGAAAAAGAAAGAAAGGTTCTTCACTTTTTGACAATTCATTCATATTTATGCTGAGGTCCTATTTATGCTTACAGAGAAATGAGGCTCTTATTTCCCAGTGGGCACATCTATGGTTTCATAGTTTAGGTCTATCAGATCTGGGCTGCAATCCAGATAATCAGTAGACAGTAGCAAAGAGAAGCAAAACAAGTACAGTATATGGCTGCTATTTAATGATTGTCTGGACTTTATGGTTCATATCTGATAGCATTATTGTAGTTAGTGGAATTTCTTCTTCCTGCTATCAGAGAAGCAAATGTATTAAATTAAATGGGAATTCAATTGCATTGGTAGGTTGACATGGACTGATGAAAACAATCCATTCTCTCACACAGAAATCTGGCAAAAAGCAAATATTTCTTCTAAACAATTTATGAGACATACAAAATGGTGTAAAATCATTTGAAAATAGGTGGGGAGACAAAGCCCGAGGCTTTTAGTTGAGGAATGACAAGAACTTATCTAGAAAGGTTTATGAAATTACTAAACTTATCATAAAACAGGGCTTACAATTGATTTTTTTTTACCCTGGAATATAGACTTTTTTCAGTGAAGTTGACTATCTTTAAAGATCCATTCTAGTTGATTTATATTTCATCACATAAGACCATTTCTTTCTTTCTCACTTTTCTGGTTTTCTCCATTCTCACATGCAACAGAGGTAGTGAGAGGATTCCACACAAGAGACACTAGCCATTTGGCTATGGGGAAATATAGGAGCACCTCTTGAAGACATAGGTGCCCTAAATCCAGATCATGGGCACACATATCTGGTGTTTCATAGTCAAGGAGGACCTCCCCAACAATCCCAAAGTCTAACATCTGTACCAGTGAGGTGTGAAAGAGATAGTAGCATTTCAACTTTTTTCTGAAACAAATGAAAGATTATGAACATGATGCTATCAAACACGCTTCTGTTCTTAACAAAAACTCTATGCAGTGGATTTGACTGAGCATCAGTTAACTCATAAAAGGTCACCATATGATGAATGAGGATTTGAATTGGGTCTCTCTGATTAAAGTGACTGAAACTAACAAATAAGCAACAAAAGCCCACTTCGCTAACTTTTGCTATTTTCTGGATATTACAATATAAAATAGGTAACTCTGGTGATTTTTTTTAAAAAAACCAGTAAATAAGCAAGTAAATATTAAAGTTATCTAATGGGGTCTTTGGGTTAAAGCAAACAGTGACATTGGAAGTCTGCTCTGCTTTCCCTTATTGGAAGCTTGGAGAGAAATTGGTATCAAAAATAGGAAAAGAAATTGGGAAAACAGTGCTTGTACAGAAAGTAAATGCTGAGAGAAACCAAATGGAAGTTTAGCATTGTTAGAGCATAATTCATGGCATCAACCTTTTGAGATAAGCCAAGTGGGGACTAATGGAACTCTATTATTGCCAGATATATTAGCGGAATCTTGAAACTAAATAATCTCTCATCACTATTTCTTATACCAAAGAGTATCAAGATGGACAATCTTGAGTTTCTTTCTCACTCCCTCATATCTTTCAGGACTAAGCTGGTATTTCCACAACAGCTGTTGAATACCTTCTTCAAGGCCGTATCACTCTAGACATTGTACATTTCGAGTAATATCTCCTGATTCTCTTCAAATCCCACAATTACTACATTAATCACATTGTTGGCACTGAAGATGGTGTTATGACTGAGTAATTATCTCACTGGCATGGAAACTAAAACCTCCATACCAAGCCCAGTTATATAATTCCAGACTTCTTGGGTCTTGTTAATTGAAATTAAAATACAGAAACACAGTAGGATTGATTTAAAAAAAAATCCATTCATGTTGGGAAACTCTTGCCCAGCATCAAATTTATTATATTTTAACAATGGCCATTACATTTTATAGTTTCTTTGATAGTGTGCTTGTCAGGCAAAAGGAAATAAGTTGGATATAATAAAAAGAGATTACTATGGAAAACATTGCCCTCTACTCAATTTGTTTGTTTTGGCTACAATTGCACAGAATATTTCAGCAGCTAAGACAAAGGTTAAGCACAAGTAGCAGTAATTGATCATGATAAACCATTTCTAACCATAGGAATAAAAGTATTTTATTGTCTGCTTGCAGCAGCTGATCACAGGGAAGTTGAGTGTCTTATCATAACATTCATCACATTATTTTATAAAGGTAATGAATCAGATCCGAGAAGCAGCTTTAAATGTTTAGAAATCCTGTACAATTGATGTTTAAAGCAGCTAGGGAGCCTAAACAGAGAATATCCCACCACTGAAACATTTTTTTTTACAATATACTCTTTAAAGAGCAATTGTTCCTATGTGAGGCAGCTTAAATTCGTCACAGTGAAGACCTTTTCATTGGGAAAATGATGTAATTCTTTATATCAAGACAAAGAGGAGGTGTGATTTGCCTTAATGATACACTGCATACTGCCTTCTAGGCACCCCCACCATCTTCTATCGCATGTCCTCAGGGTTCTTTCCTTCATTTGCAAAAGTTGGACAAGGATTCTAAGGACCGTTCCAAAAGACAGCATGATGGAAGCTCTTTTAAGTGCTTGCCACCACCAATAGCATCTTCAGTACTTGGAAGGTTGGAAAGGATTTCCAGAGAATTCTAAAATGAGTGTTGCTTTATAGCAGCGGTTCTCAACCTATGGGTCACGACCCCATTTGGGGTCGATCGACCATTTCACGGGGGTCGCCAAGCAAGGCTGTCCGCCATTTTTTTCCCCTTTTCCGGCGGGTGCCTTACCTCCCTTGAGCTGGGCCAGCTGGTGGTCGGCCTGCTCCGTCTCTGCCGCTTGCCAGCTACGCCTTGGCCGGCGCAGGGGGGCGGAACCACGCATGTGCGGCACTCCCGGGCAGGGAAAGTCCTTGACTTACGACCGATTGGGTAGTTCTCGACTTACGACCGGTTTAGTCCTTGACTTACGACCGATTTAGTCCTCGACTTACGACCGGTTTAGTCCTCGACTTACGACTGGTTGGGGGTCGCGGCATTAAAAAGGTTGAGAACCACTGCTTTATAGTCTCCTTCAAGCATCCTACAGCATGGGCAAAAGCCAAAATGGTGGCCTTTTTTTCACTCTTAGAATTGTCAAAGGAAAATGAACAGGCTCTGGGGAAGCAAGTGCAGAGAGAAGCAAAGCACTATAAAGCATCAAGACTCCTTCTCTTTATTCTTAGAAGTCAGGGGGCTGTGTTGCTTCCGGAAGCAGCCTTGAGGGGTGATTAATGCAAACATTGCACCCTCCTTCAGATATTATTATTTGAGGCCTAATGAAACCACATTCTATGCTATTTTGAAGGAAATAAAAAGAAAAGAAGAATTAAAGAAATATCCAGAAAAGATAAGTATTCTTCAACAAATTAAGCTTTTACAACAGTTGCCTTTAGAAGTAAGAGAAATGGAAGTGAAGATGAATTTTGTAAAACCAAAAAAAAAAAAGAGTTTGCAAATAATCCAAAGAACTGGCTAGCAGATACATTATAGAAAGAAAAAGAAAAGCATATTGAAATTATAACTTCAAATTTATGTTGGAAATGAGAACATCTAGAAGGGACCATGCTTGGTGGACATGGAAAAAAACTAGAGGATTCTTGTCTCAAACACACATAATAATTCAGAGGATTTTTAAGATTAATATAAAATTGAGACTAGAGGTTTTTCTTTTAGGACCGAAGGCTAAGCATTAAAAAAAATCATACAACTTTGGTTTTGTACATGATAACTGTAGAAAAGATTATTGTATGCACACAGTTTGAAAAATTTGGCTTTGCTCACAATGGAGGAATGATTGGTGAAGATGATGGAACTTGCTAAGATGGCTAAATTGACTTCTTTGATTGGAGAAAAGACAATAGCTACATACATTGCTGATTGGAAATTCCATATGGACTTTTTGCATAAAACAGAAAAAAATAACTTAAGATTTATGGTTTTGATATTTCTACAGGATAGATTATAGAAAAAAGAGAGCTATGTTGTAACTTTAGAATAAAAGGTAAAGTTGTAATTGTACATATAACTTCTGTAAAGGAGGTTGGAAACTATTTCTTTGTAGTTTTTGTCTTTTCTATTTTTCTATTTTTCTTCTAGGGTTGTCACACTGGGTCTGCTGCACTCAGCCAATTCTTTTACGCTGCAGGGCAGTATTACAGCGGATATAAACCATGAGTTTCAATTCAGAAGAGGACAGTCATTCTCTATCGTATCCTGGGAGGGAGATGAGAGAAATAATGAGATGGAATTTCATGTGATGGGATTGGTGATGTCACTTAGCCTGCTTGTGAAAGGCAATTGGACATTAAATCAAAGGAGATCAAAAGCCTGGATTATTTCAGTCCTGCCAGGCAATTATGTGATGATAACCCACTTTATTATAAAATATAACTCAGGGGAACAGCTTGCCTTTAGAAATCGTGGGTGCTCCATCACTGGAGATTTTTAAGAAGAGAGTAGACAGTCACTTGTCTGAAATGGTATAGGTTCTCCTGCTCAAGCAGGGGGCTGGACTAGAAGACCTCCAAGGTCCCTTTCAGATTCTATTCTATTCTATTCTATTCTATTCTATTCTCATCATCATCATCATCATCATCATCATCATCATCATCATCCTAGTGTTTTTCCCACAAGTGCGGGGTTCACTTTCAGATCAACAAGTGCCATCTTATGCAATCATACATAGTATCTAGGTCCAACTAGACATTTTTTATTTCTGCATTTATTGTAGCTTGTCATCTTTGCTTCGGCCTTTCACACAGATGCTTGCCATCTATATTAAAATGGAAGGCAATGTAGGCAACAGTGTGGGTGCTGTTCATAGAACCTGGCCATACCACCGTAGGCGTTTCTCCTGCATTTTCTCTGATATTGGCCTGGTGCCCATTTGCTTATGAACTGTGTCATTGATAACATGATCCAAGAGGAAAACCCTTAACAACCAAGAAAGCATGTGCATCTCTATGGCCAGCCCTTGCCACCATATAGAACTGCTGGGCACACCATCATAAAATATATATCATTATAAAATATAACTGATGTAATAAAAAGGATTGATTTGATTCTCTTCAAGTCAAGCTTGACTTCTGGTAACATGGTTTTCTTTCACTAGTATGGATGAAGTTTGCCTTTGTCCAGACTTTTGTTTAACTTTATTGTCCAGCCTATCCACTTCTGACCCTGCCTAATTTAGGTAGAACCTAAGGATAGGACTTACTAATTTCAAGATCAGTTGAATTAATTGATGCAACTGATTAAAACTGCCTGAACTGAGCAAGGCAGATAATTTTCCAAAATTCCTGAATTGTAATCTATAATAACAAAGCTATAGTAATAAAGCGGGTTTGTCTACTGAGAATAGAAACTATTACAATTAATGCCAGATGCTTTATACTGGTAAAAGGATCAAGTAGCAGTAATAAGTAAGAGTTATGACAGAAAGCAATAATACCAAGATAACACTGGATTGTGTGAGTCATTGGCTTTATCTGAAATATGACAGCTTCATGGGATTATTTGGCCTTAAGAGCCACTTCTTACTCTGGTGGAATGTGTGTGTTTCTTAGGCCTGAATAAGGAAAAGTAGGTGATATTTGCCTCTGAGGTTACGTGTTTTTAAAAAGACTGTCTACTATCTCAGCAAAGTTTAGAGAGAAGGTAAGTTCATCTGGCAGTTTGAGGAATAAATCTCACCGTTAAATTTTAATTGTTCAAAATATAATTTTTATAATAATTCATTCCAGCAAGGCTATAATCTCACATTCACTAGAATATAATTAAGATATAAATATGAAGTTAGATGCTACCATGGGGGGGGGAATGAAAATTTAAGGATCTATTTTTCATTACTACAGTGTATAACTTAAGTCAGGGGTAGTCAACCTTGGCTCTTTTATGACTCGTGGACTTCAATTCCCAGAATTCCTGAGCCAGCTTAGCTGGCTCAGGAATTCTGGGAATTGAAGTCCACGAGTCATAAAAGAGCCAAGGTTGACTACCCCTGACTTAAGTGAATAAATAAATGAATGAAAAGGGGAATTCAACATTAGGTAATAAAAAGAGTGATATCCTTGGATAAATGAATGTTAAAACAATATGCAGAATATTGAGTCATTACAGTGGCAAAGATTAAACTCACATATAGCAAATATCTGCTCCAGAAATGGCTTTAGCAATTGTTCTTCCCATTAGAAAAGGCCATTTTAAACTGGCATTCTTATGTCAATGGTTGTTGATTTGAGTTAAACCCAAAGATGTAATTTTACCAGTTCCAGTTACTTTTAGGAGCTACTATACACCTTTTTATGACATTGGGTGGCAGGAAAAGTTACCGTCTTTCAGCTTGCTTCAACAGTTGACCATTTAAGGGAAAATGGTATTTGGAAGTAGGCATAATCTTTTGATAAGGAATGTCTTATAAGTACGCAGCTGTGATGTTTATATTCTGTGCACGATAAAATATGTTTTTGCATTTCAAAATAAAGGATATTGATAGCATTCTTTTCTCTTCCAAAAGGAAGATATGGATTTGGGGTGGGGGGGGCATGCAGGATGCATGATAAGACAACCTTTGCTATTTATTCCAGTTTTTTAGATTTATTAGAAAGACCAGCTGCTTTGGCTTTCAATAGGGTAGTGTTTAGTATCTTGCCCTAATTTCTGCACATTATTTCTTGGAATTTGATGAAGACATGGATTAAAAATCAGTGAAAATCTAGAACTTGACAACATTTATAAGGCAGCATTTGAGACGATTCATGGTATAATTAGGATTAAGTCTGTGCAATAAGTATCTCAATTAAATATAGCTTAAGACATGAACTACTGAAAAAAAATGCTCACAGAGATGTCAGATGATATAAAATCCCCCCCCCCCGTGTTGCTTGATCTGAGTTGATTGTTTCCATTCGTATATGGCACTTATCACTTACAGTAATCACTGTAATGGTTTGGCCATGCATCAAAGAAAAGTACAATAAGAATATTATGCTATGCTTCATAACTCAGACATACCAAGATGAAAATCAGATTATCTTAGAGTGCTTTGAACCAAAACATTTGTTATTCTACAATGTTGCAACTCAAAGATTGGAAACCACAAGGTCCTTTTTAAAAAAAAATATATGTTAAAAATTGATTTATGATCTAGCCATACAGTTTTAGTCTCATCAAAGTGCTGCAATGCAATTCTATTAAAAAGCAATGCCCACTTTATTAAAGTTTATAGTTTATTCACAATGAAGAAGAACTCTTGAGTATTGTATTATTTCTTATAGGCCACTTCAGAAAAATTCCAGGTTTAAGTTGTAACTACGGTAAGAACTTTTTCTTGCACAACTTTTTTAGACATAGTACCTCATTGTTTTGTATTTTGCTGCCTCCTCACCAACTCCTAAATCCTAACTCTTTTTTTCTGTTGTGGTATAGTTCTATACTGAGTATCTTGGGAATATCATGAACCAGGTAGCATTTATGAGAGTCTTTTTTATTTTAGACTCTTTTAGACTAAGTACATCAAGATGAGAACCACAATTACTAGTACTATTTTAATGGGAGACACATTTATTAAATACTTACTATCTTGATGTCTAGTATTCCATACTTTGTTATAATTCTACTGATGTTCATTTTATTATTGCATGTGCATGTTTGAAGAACTTCAAACATAGTAGTAGATTATGAGCAATCACTATTTTGGGAAAAAGAAAAAATGGGTTCGATAGCAATAATTGCTCTAGAACAATAATGTTTAATACTAAAATGTAAATAAGCATCTTTCTGAAAGGAGAGAAAGTTGTATTTTTAGAAATGCAGATGGAAATGTAAGGGGGGGGGGGGAAATCCCTATAGGACGAACATTATATCAAACATGCAACAATAGAAGTTTCCCAAAAATGCAGTATCCATTTCAACTTAGCATGTGGGCTTTTTTGAAATTCACAGTTGACACTGATTTTCCACAATGGAATTCCCTAGTAAATTAATTCAGAACAATAGGATTTCCTATTCTCCACCTAGGGATTTCCTGATTGTCTGGTAATTCTATTGTAGCCATAAATGCAGGAATAGGGATGGCTGCATTTTGGAGTTAAATGTGGTATGCAGCTTTTAAACATCTTGACTCTAATGTTTACTTTGTGTGTAAATAGACTGTAGATGAAGGGCAGTGAACTTTGTTTTGTTCAGGGAGGGTCCAAAATAAATGCTGTTTGGGCTATTTTTCCCCCACTATTTTTTATAGCTATGAGTTCCTTTCTTCTCTTTCTCTCACCTCTATACATTTTCTTCTTTGAAAAGTCATCTTTCTAGAGCTGCCATATTTTAACTCCAGCATGCTAGAGGAGTTAACCAAAAAGACTTCTCTTGATAGAGGGAGGTAGGAAAAAATCCCATGTGGTTAACATTTTAAGTGTTAAATAGATCTGCTCGCTCTGAAATTAGTTGCTCCAATGCGGAAGAAAGTGGCCAATGGAAACAGTTTCTATCAATGGGTTAACATTGACAGTAGATAGTAAAAGCAACAGGATCACTTGATCATTTCTAATTGAAAATTAATCAAGAGCTCCCCCATTTTGAATGCATTCTGTTTTATTTTCTGCATTACATTAAACATACAGGTAGTCCTTTGCTTAACAACAGTAATTAGGTTTGGAATTTCTACCGCTAAGTGCTGTGCTCGTAAAGCATGATGCCACATGAGTGCACCATTTGGTGACAACAGTTCCAGAACATCCGGTTCTCCTAGTTAAGCAACTATGATGCCATCATTAAACATAACATCATATGGTGACCATTTGTGACCTCTGCTGATTTTACCATTGTACCATTTACTTGCTGGAAGTCAGCAGTGAAGGTCTCAAATGGTGATCATGTGACTGAGGGATGTTGTGACATTATAACTGTGAACCAGGCATCAAGCACTCAAATCGCAATCATGTGACTGTGGGGACACCACAACCATTGTGAGTACAAGGATTGGTGATAAGTACCACTTGTTTAGCACTGTTTTAAGTCTGAACAATCGCTAAACAAGTGGTTATTAAACATGGATTACCTGCAAAAGAGACGAGTTAAGTTCCAGAAGGCCTGCTTATAAGGGGGCAATACAACCAAATATTTGTTTTTCATCCTTTTGTCAAGTATATATGGCCATGTAATAAATGTTTTTTTTAATATGCCACCTTTGGAGGGGCAATTGTGAAGAACCATTACAGAAAGGAGCAACTTCCCCACTCAGACAAGCATATGTTTCTATGAAGAGACATTGCATTTGGCACAGAAGCTAAGGCAGACAAAGAGATTAAAGGTTTTATGTTGACAAAAGGACAGGCCTTGCATGGAAAAAAAATCCTTGTTCAGTTGGTTGCATTGCTGAACCAAGATATAGGTGGGAAAGATCTTAAGGAGCTTCTCTGAGTCAGATCACCTTAAACTAGATAGATCAATCTTTATAAAGCTGTTTCTTTTCATTTCTTTTTTTATAGATATTTTCTTTTCATTTCTAAATTTCATTTGAATTCTGTAACTTCAGAAATTCAATGAAATTAGATTACATATTACAGAACTACTGGAATAGCTTTTTCACTTCATAAACACGATAACTCTTCTTCCTTTGGAGAGGAAACTATTCTGAAGATATATAGATATCCCTTTGGTCTTTCACACAAAGAAAGTCTTTCAGAAATGAGAAAGGACATATTTTGTCTGGTTTTAGGCAGACACAGGCTCTCTCTCTCTCTCTCCCAAAGAGATCTACTGATCAGTTAAACCCCTAGGGGTCAGTATAGCTATATATGTCAGAGCATGGGCATCTAGTCTTAGGCTGTGGGGTGAATTCTACAATGCAACTAGATATCAAAGCTTTTCTTTCACCAATTAGCCTTGAAGTTTGAGAGACTTCTTGGATGAACAAAGCTCTCATTAAATCATGACCCTAAAGCAAGGCAGCTCAGAGGTTATTGGGGTTTAGATGAAGCTTTCTGGGCTAATGAGGCCCATTGCTCTTAGAGAGAACTATGCCCAAGGGCAAACTGAGCAGAACAATAGTCCAAGAGCAATGTTGTCCGGCAGGTCTGTTGACATGAAAGCAGAACGGACAAACAGGTGCCAATAGGCAGAAAAGCAGTCAGGATTAACTGAGTCAACAAAGAAAAGAGTCTCTGATGCCAGGTCATATGGTGCCTATCACTGTAAGAAGAAAAAAAGAACATAATATCTGTTTGGACCAGGTCTGTTTCCTTTTTCTCTTGTGTAAATTAGTGGCTTTTCCCTTCCAGTCTCCCCAAAGAGCAATCACTGCTACTCAGATGTTAGAGGTACTAATTCCTTTATGAGCAAAGAAAGGAAAGTCCCCATCCTCCAGCAAAGCCTGGAGGGTAATAGTGGCTCTCTCTTAAATTGTGTTCCCAACAAAGGAAAGAAAAGCTCCTGGATACAATTGCTTGCAGCAGCTGTTAAAACAAGTGCAGGCCAGGGATTTTGGAATCACTGGACATTGTCCTTTGTTATGAAAGCAACCATATTAGATACAACCCAGTTACTAATATTGCTTTAGGTCAGTGTTCCTCAACCTTGACAATTTAAAGGCATGTGGACTTCAACTCCCAGAATTCCACAGCCAGCAATGCTGGCTGTGGAATTCTGGGAGTTGAAGTCCACATGCCTTAAAATTGTCAAGGTTGAGGAACACTGCTTTAGGTGAATAACATGAACTATATTGTCCCAATATGGTAACTCATGTTTTTTAACCATTATTTATCAAATTAGCTCGGTTGCCTGGGTCCATGAAGTACACTGAACCAGAAACTAGTCATCATACTGAAGCACAAGCAAGCCAGCCTCGTTTTGAAATAGTGTATTGTATAAATTCAGCCGTATTAGGCCACTGTCTGAGTTGTAAGGCAAACTCCAGGTGGGACCTCTTATGATGGAATCTGTCTTTCTAGGAAAAGTCTTTGCATCCCAAAAAATAAATAGTAGGTAGAACCATCATAATTTTTTTTAATTACAAAGAAATTGAAAAATTGGAATTTGATCTCCTTGCTGATGTTAGAATTCACTATGGACAGAAAAAGATTGTAAGTAAATGAATTACAAAGCTATGATCTCAGTGAAAACTATGGACCCTTCTACCTAAGGATTCTGAGCTGGTTTGAAATGCCTTCCAAATCTTTGCATTTCCATGACAACACTGCTGAAGAGTTGAACTGATTTACTGTATATCTGACTTGTTTTCAGGATAGTTGAAACTACTGCCAAACAAGATTTTTACCACTGGAAAGGGATGATGCTGAAGTTTTCATTGGAGGGAATTCTTTCCTTAAACCCCTCCTGCTTTTTGAGTTTCAGGTCCTGGAAGTGGAATGTTAGCTTAATGGCTTTCCAGTTTCCCCCTCAGTCGCTCAATCCAACAAGCATGAATGAAATATGCTCAGAATAATTGTCTATAAAATGCCAAGAGATTGGATTTCTTTTTCTTTTCCCTCCTTTTTTTTTTTTTAGTTTAGGTTGGAGAAATTTTGTAGACGTAGGACCTTTAGAAGTTCAGGGCAGAACAATAATTTTCACTTCTTTTTTTCAGCATTCCAAGTCAAGAGAAAGATTGCCTTCAAATTGTTTCTGAGAATATGAGAGATGAAAATGGCAGCAGGGTGACAATGCCCGCAAAAGGAATTTAATGTGCTTGTAAGAGCGAGCAGTATGAATAGCTTGTGGGTATAAAAGAGTCTTCTATAAGTAGACTGCAAACAGAGTCTATATAATTTTCAGGCAGTAAACAAAGTAGTTTAATCATCAAGTTCCTTCACTTCTTTCCTCTGCCTTTAAAAGATCTGCCAGGTGAGTCCTTCCCTGTCAAAGAGAAACTAGAGCTGGTCTTCAAGTCCTAGTACCTCTGGAAGTAAAGTGATGCTTTGTGTTTCAGTTTCCATTTACGTATCTGAATAGTATTATGTATAAGGAATGTTTGGCATACTTCTAGTCAACCCTTAGTAGAAAATAAATGTTCCATTTAAAAACTGAACATCAGTTTTGCATGTCTCTTCTATTACTTTAGAGTGACTTGAAAGAGGCAGAAAAAGAGAGGCAGCTGAGTCCCCAACAGTGTTATATACTCACTTGCAGGACCTCAAATAGAATATTGCATAGATAGAAGTTCAAGGCTGCCTTGGGATGCCAAAAAGTCAAGTGTATCCCATGACTTTAGTGATATTCCACCTTATTTATTCTTAAATGTATTGTTTTTTCTATTTTCAGTTTCTATTTCCACCCCAGGAAATTGCATTCTTAGAACTATTATCAAAAAATAATTATATTATAAACCTGTAGCATTGGACTACAATTCCCAATTAGCACCACAACTCCAGCTCCAACTAAACTATTGGATCCAGTACATCAGGATCAGGGGTTGGCAATAACAATCTCTTATCACATCTGTGTGTGTTTACTACTGTCCTGGATTTAGGAGCTTTCAAACTCTCAAAATAGGGGGAAAACTCTCAGCAACTGAAAATATTTTTATCATCTTCCTCCTCCTTCTCATCTTATAGTTGGTTCTGCTTTCTGTGAGGTGCTCTATCAAATTTTCCCTTTCCCAGTTTCTGGTTGCCTTGGTCAACAAGTTATAAAGATTAATAAAGTGTATTTTGTGTTCTGAATCCTTAAGCTGGGATTTTCCTCTTTTGTTGATCTTGACCCCTGACCCTCAGTTGGGATTGGATATGTTTGTGTCTATGTAGGAAGATCAGTCACTAGGGATTCTCTATGGATTCCCAAAGAATTTTTGTCATTAATTCATTGATTATTTATAAAAGGCACACATTAATACATCATCTGGATTCTTCTCCAATTCCATCCCAGTGTCAACCAAAGTCATCCATTGCACCAATGAAACATTTCTGAGTTGGCAGTGAGCAGCATACATGCAGTTGCCATTATCACCAGTCCCTCTTGTATCTCTGTAAGCCAGTGAATGATACTCCTTATTTTTTCAAACTGAGACAAGTTAAAGTCAATAATTGGTAGATTTTTTTCATGGCTCCCTGAACTTTATCTGTTAATGGGAAAGACAATTATCAATTACTCTGTGGAGGAACAGGGATGAGTAAATGTGAGTGGATATTTAGAATTGTTGCCTGACTAACAATATGCAGTGGTGCTTTGTGCCTATTACAAAGGTCTAGTGCTTTTCCAAAGATAAATTAATTAATTAATTAATTAAACCTCTGTCCCCATATAGCCCATCTGAAAGTCAGAAATATTAAAGAAAGTTGTAGGGTATATCAGGAGAAAACTATCAATAATGGGTGACTTCCATTCTCAGCCATTTCTGTAGGGGTATAGCAGATCTGGCAGCCAGGGAGTGTGACTGGCAATGCCCAGAAATTGCCTGTGGAGTTGGTGACAACCAAAACTGATAAAGTGTGTTCCCAGCAAAACTTGGGTTAGGAGAAAAAGGGAAATATAACTCTAAAACAGCAACAGCTAAAAACAACTTTAAAGTACTTGAGATATAGGCTGGGTTTGAGGTAACATGCCATAAAAATAATCACCAGGGCATGTTTATGCCATAATTGGGGATGTAAGTGGTAGGCCTTCCACACACACACACACTCACACAAAAACAGGACTATAAACTATATCTTTATTATACTGCAGGAAACAGTGGGCAAAATAGATGATTAGTTTTGTCTGAATGATGGAATAAGTGTACACAATTTATATCTGATTGGATTTCAAACATCTTATGTCTTGTTATACTGTTGCTTTCTTGAAGAAGCAATTTGGATTTATCTTATCTCTTATCTCATGGTATCCATTGCTCTTTTATTCAGATAAAACCCCAATTAAACTTGAATTTCTCAACTCCAAATTAACACCATTTGCAATAACACCATCACTGTGCAGATTAACTTACAATTTTGCATTTACATCTGAAGGCCAAAGGTTTTTCCAGTAATCAGTGTGGTTCTTTTGATCTTCATCATCTGGCATCCAAACTGTGTCCAAATATTTTAGCTAAGTCTATACAGATTTCTGGACAATCCCATAATAGTCTGCTATTGCCTTCTTGGATTTTGGATTCTTTTCCGAGGTGAGTTGGAAAGCTGGAACCCAACTTATCCTCATTGCCTATTATGTATTATCCCCTTCCCCTTTCATTCATGCTGGCACAGTGACTTTATCAAAAGTTCGTGCTAACATCAATCTCAGGTTTATGGAAATTGTTGAGCTCTTACCTCATGTCAGGGTAGCCATCCTCTGGGAGACGTCAGCTACTGAATTTAGATCATGATTTATTTTTGCCCCCAAATGGACAGGATCACAGTTCAATGTGAGTAATAATTCATGAGTACCAGTTGGTATTCTGACTTTGTAACTATGTAAATGGTCTCTGCACTCTCCTGGAAAAAAATGTTTGAGAAGAATTAAAGTTTTATGATATGAATCATCAGTCTGATGCCGGCACCATCAGATAATATTATTGTGTCAAACCCTGAAAAGAAATCCTGAAAATTGCACAAACCAGCCTCACTGTTTGAATTAAGAAAAAAATATTGGGTGGTGTTGCTGAACATAGTGTATCTTTAGTAAAATGTGTTGCAGCTGCACATGACTTAGAATTCAAATGGACTCACAAAAATGCCAGTGAGATTCCGTAAAATCATCTTTATGTTAGTGTGTCTCCTATGACTCCTTCTTTGAAATCACTGCCAGCTGACCTCGAATCTTGTATCCAATTGGATTCAACAGCTAGTTTTGCATCTCAGCTTCTAAATTATTCCATGAACCTGTCAGCCAAAATGCTGAAATAGATCTGTGTATAAAATACATCTATTTAACTTTCCAATGGTGTTACATAGTAGATTGCCTGGCCTAATCTTTAAGACATTATTTGTTCAAGGCAGGTTACTTATAATATTTCAAGCCAAACATAATATATTTGTTCTGGATGAAAATAAATTATCTTTTTAGGAACATGGTGAGCTTCTTTTGTGCTCTTGTGGAAGCAGTTGTTATTTCAAATGGCATTACTTTTTTCTTATAAAATAATATCCATTACATGAGTAAGAAGGGCTGAAAATATCTGTACCAAATATTCTTACATTCTTTTAAATGTTCTTTTTTATAACAACAACAACAACAACAACTTTGTCACTTTGAATGTACACCAATCAACATACATCAAAATGAAATTTTGTTCCATACAGCTCTCAAAGGGTCACCACCTTCAATATACACTCCTTGTTTGTGGCCAGCTCAAGTTTCAGAACGTCAATTTTAGTCTCTAGGGAGCAAACGATGGCAAACAGGAAAGATGGAAACGGAGTGCCATATGGATTAGCCCTCAAATTAGCTTGAATTCCTGCATGACAACCTCGTCTCCTTTCCTTTTTCTGATCCTGTCTCTTCCACCTTTTCCTTAAAGGGGCCTCACTCCTTTTCACCCCTGGAGCACGCTGCCGCCACCTCCAACTCCTCCAAATGCCTCTCTCTTTTCCTCTGGGCCTGCCGACAGCGTCATCCAGTTCCTTTGCTTCATAAGCCCTGGGACCTCTCCTCCTCTGCCTCCTTTGGAAACAGCCCTGATCTGCAATATAAACCGTCACTGTGCCAGCAATCAGATCTTGCTTCTGGCAGAACAATTTCAAACAGCACCAACAACTTTTAACAGTCTCACCAACAGCTAAAACCTCACCATACCAGCAAAGATTGTTGGTCGTATGTTAGCTTAGTCCCACCATGTTGCTCAAACACATTAAAACCTTCCCAATCATGTGGCCTATATCCCTTATATCCCTCCAAAAACCTTTCCCCTTTGAGAGACAATGCTGCCCCAGCCGATCCAGGTGTCGCCATCTTAGAAATTTATAGTAATTTTATTAGGGCTTACAAGTATAATGTGTAATACAATTGAAAACAAATATAAAAGAAAAAGAGAAGTGCAGAAAGATAGAAAAAAACAAGAAAAAAAGATTTCCCCCTAACAAATAATTATAAACTTAACATCTTCTCCAGTATTTCAATTTAAAAAAATCTTCTTCCTATATTTCATTTCCAGTCAATAATTAAGTTGTAAAAAACCATCATTCAGCAGAAGTGTATTAAGAGCTACCAGAAATAGTCCTCGACTTACAACAGTTCATTTAGTTTATGACAATTTTTCCACACCTACTGTTGCAGCATCCCCTTGGTCATGTGATCAATATTTGGATGATTGGCAACTGGTTCATATTTATGACGGTTGCAGTGTCCTGAGCTCATATGATCACTTTTGGTGACCTTCTGACAAGCAAGGTCAATGGGGAAGCCAGATTCACTTAACCACCATGTTAGTAACTTAACAACTGCAATTATTTACTTAACAACTATGACAAGAAAGGTCGTAAAATGGGGCAAAACTCACTTAACAAATGTCTCCTTTGGTAATATAAATTTTGGGTTCAATTGTTGTTAAGTCGAGGACTACCTTTATTCTGACTATTCAAATATCTATTCTATTAAAATCTATTCAAACTTCAAAGTCCTTTCTTACCGTATGTTTATTTTCCAATCAGTCAAACTTTTCCATATATAGTTTCTTATAGTGAATTTCAATACTTTAAATATTTCCTTGATGCCATCAAGATATACCATTATGGTTCCAAAATAACATTTTGAATCATTTCTAGTTGAGGCCAGTGAAAAGGACTGCAAAGTGCAGTTAAATAATCTATTATTTATCTTTAATGAATAAGGTATATCCTTTATTTTTCATATTCATGTAAAAAGAAACCAATATGTATCTTGAGTAAAGAGTTTTTATCCCATTTGAGTGTGATGAACTCTTCTCTTAGGATGATCTCTCCTTTTTCAAAAATTAAAATACAGCTGTACAGGCATGCCTAATTGCTCATAACAAGGATAAATGAAATGGAAGATTAATTCTAAAGTAATGGAGGAGAACATATAAAGAAAATACCCCTCCTGTCTCTGCTGTGAGGAATTTGGCAACTCAGGAAATCCAAAAGGATACCCAAGTATAGACATTCCACAGGTGACCCGAAAAGTACTGTTGGCTTATTTAATTTGATTACACATTCATCCCAATCTAAAATAATAAAACCATAGATTTTTATTTGCTCTACAATCAACTTTTCTCAAAGTAAATAATGGCTGGAAAGCAAGTGAAGCATTCAGTTGAAAAGCAAACATTTTAAGAGTAAAACCAGCAAAACAGGAAACTGTCTGACAATTT